GATAAGGATAAGGTGCTTGTCGCCTGGTCTTGGACTGAAGTGAGACTGATGTGGTCTGGTCCATTTCCGGATATGTCCCAACCATCATTTCTCAACAGTCATTATTTTTATCTACTTTGTCATTTAAATTTAGACCATTTCTATAGTGTTACAAATAATACAATTTATATAGTTGATTGAACCGCATTACTTAAACTAAACCGGCGGTTATTTATAGAATAGAGTTTTGGGCTTACTTTTGTTTTTATGACATTTAATTGCTTGGTTTTTGGGCTTAGTATTAAAGAAAAACTCCAAAAACATTAAATAAACTTTCCACCTTAATGGATCAAAAATCAATTACTATTTTCAGGCCCAAAAATATTTGATATTTTCAACAAAACAAAATTATCTATTATTAATCACTTATTTAAATCATGTACTTTAAAACATGTTAATATTTTTTGCCCAAAAATATTTAATATTTTCAACAAAATAAAATTATCTATTATTAATCACTTGTTCATGTACTTTAAAACATGTTAATATTTTTTATTTTAAATAACAATCTCTCTATCTTGATAAATTTTAATGGTAACTTTTAAATAATTTATTGTTTTATTATTCTTAAATAATTTACAGATTTAAAAAAAATGTAAAGCAAAACCAAAAACCAAATCTAAAAACTAAAATCCAAAACCAAAAGCTGAAAACGCAAGTTATATTTTTTTCTTTTTTTATTTACAAAATAAACTATTTCAAAATTTTTAGAAAATTATTTTGTCATCTTTTCAGTTTTAAATTACATGTTCGATTAATTGAGATTTTGTTGGTAATATCAGTTCAAACTAATTCAGCGGGTCTAAAATTAAAAAACTAAACCAAAAGCTGAAAATCAAAAATAGAAACTTAAAAACTAAAAACCAAAAACCAAAATTTAAAATAAAATCTAAAAATAAAAAACTGAAACTAAAAACTAATGAAAAACAACTATCATCACAAATTTTGGTAAACTAATTTTATACCAAAACATTCTTTAAATTAAGGCAAAACCCAATTATATAAATTTTTGTGGGTATAGTTAGGTGATTCGGTTTTATTCATCGTTACCAACAAAACTACAGAAAAGAGGTTAGTGTTAATGAAATCTTTAAAATTAGGTGTATATTAACACCTAAGCATAGTGTGGTAAACTGGTAAGTGAGCATTATAATGTGTTAAAGTATTTGGTGGCCAATCTTTGTTAGCAGCTATCATTTTTGGAGATGTGGACAGAACATTTGCTAGTAGTTAACACGTAACACTACAACTCAAAGAAACTTCAGTTTTTGTGTCCTATATATACGATTACAAGTGCATGTCTATATTTCAACATCTCAAACTAAAAGAAAGAAACTAAAAGCTACGGCCATGGAAAGAAAATCTGATGATCTAGAGTCATACCCCAAATATGATCCAGAGATGGAGAAGGAACTAGACCAAATGCGATATTTGATGATGGAGGTGGAGGAACTAGACAAAATGCGGAAGATAGTTAAGGAGTTAAAGAAAGAACTAGAAGCGACGGGCATGGCAAGAAAACCTGTGGATGAAGAGTCATACCCCAAGACCAAAATCATGAATGTGCAGGAGGAAGTAGCCCAGATTCAGAAGGATATAGAGTCAAACCTCAATGTGCAGGAGGAAGTATACCTCAATACCGAAGGAAACTGGCTCATGTCCCAAGTGATAGATGGTGGATGTAGCGTTGCTGACCTTTCTCAAACCGAGATGTCTGATTTAATACCATTGATAGATGAGAGGATTGCATGTGCGGAAAGACGCATAGCTTGGTGGAGGGACACGAAGAAGACATATGAAGGAGGGAGCAGCAAATCTGGTGGTGCAGACAATGATGCCTAATGAAAGTAGCTGTCGAATAAGAAAATTATAGTGTCTTGGAATAAAGTCTGTTGTTGTGGTTGTGTCTTTGCATGCTCAATGTCTTGAAATAAAGCATGTTGTTGTTGTGTCTTTGCATGCTCATTTCTTATTGTTGTTTTGGGCTTGGGTCATGCTTCTTGTTGTTGTGTCTTAAACCTAAATAATGTCATGTTTATTTGATAATATATGGAAAAATCTGAAAAGCTAATGCATCTTTATTTTGCTAATTTATCTTTCTTACCCATCTCTTTTCTTTTTCGGTCTTTTTAGTGAACTCTCTATTCAGGGAATAGGAAATCGATATTCCACTAGAAGATCCAAATCACTGAGTTTAAACAACCTTATGACCTGACTGAGTTTTGACAATGACTATTAGTCTGTTGGCTACTACAAAATTTCAGACATTATTATATTATTCGTGATTGAAATTATATATTATCATTTACGATACAAGAAACTCGCTAACACAAATATTAGTCTCAAATTATCAGCCTGCCACCACCACCAAAGATATCATCATAAAAACATTTCAAACAACACATAAGTCTAGATTTTTGTTGTACCTGACGGATAAAACCTTCAAGGATTTCATAAGAAAATAATTGGGTGTTTTTACATGTTTGTGATTTTGAAATTTTACATAAGCTTGTTGATATCTTTAAACGGTTTTGTATTAACAAAACAATACGATTTATGTGTCACAAAAGGGCATCCTAGTGGAAAGTATCTAGAATTTTTTTTTGTAATGAAAATAAATGAAACAATTAGGAAAACTAGATGATGATAACCTGCGTCCTTTGCAGAGTAAATTTTAAAAATATATATTGTACTTAAATATTATAAACAATATACATTTTGTTATTAATATTTTTATTTTTTACATTTGATTAAAGGTGGACATTTGATTACCATTTGGTTCATTTGGATCATTGAGGGTTTTGGTTCAGTTCGAATCTTTGCGGATTTGGATTCAAGTTTGAATTCGGATAACCTATTTAAATTTTTTCCAAAAATTAAATTTCATATATACTTTAAATTTTTTTCAAAACATACAAAAATAAAAGTAATAAATAACATATAAATTTAATTAATTTATGCCAAAATACCTAAACTTAATATAAAATTGGTTTAACTTAAATATTAGATAGAAAATTAATAGATATTTTAAGTATTTTAGATATTATAAGTATCGTTTGCCTATTTTAAACATGTACTTATAACTATTTTTATATATTTACAAGTATTTTGGATAATTTAAAAACATCTTATATATTTTTTATATTCTTTTAGATATTAAATTTAAAATAGTTAATATATTTAAGTATATACATCTTGTTCAGATATATTCGAATACCTAAAATATTTTGGTTAGGATCGGGTTCAGTTTTGGTTCTTTAGATACCAAAACTTTGAATTCATTCACATATCTAACCAATTTTTATTAAAGTTTAGTACTATTCTTTGGATCGGCCTTTGTTTGGTTTTTTGGATTCAGATATTTTGTCCAGCCTTATATTTTTATTGTGACAAAATTTCAAACAAAAATGATGATGATTCATATTGATTTTCGTTATGCAACTATTTGTAAAAAACTCACTTTACTGTGTACCTCACCCATTTAGTTAATCATTAAAAATTGTGTAGATCCATTTAATAAAAAACAATGAATTGAACTTAAAAAAACGTTACCATCTCAGATTGTCAATCGACACTTCCACATTCTCTGTTGATCTTGTGATGAATAGAAAGGGGTTAGGGTTAGGGAAGCGGATTTTTGTTATGCAATTTACGTTCTCGCTCAGTAATTTCAATAACTTCTAAATCTTATACTATAAAGAAGAGTTTTCTCCTTCTAGGATGTTCCACGTCACTAATTAAAGGAAAGAGAATCTGACGCGTGTCTTTTTTTAGAGTTCCGTTACTCTCATTTCGTGTTTGTTAGCTGGGCTTGAACGACTATTTAATGATTTTATTTTGTTTAAGATAATGGGCTTCAACATTTTATACGTTTGTGGGCTATGAAACACAAAATTTTGCTCACCAGAAAACCTAATATACGTCGGTCATCGTTCTAACGTTGTTGGTAGTGCTGTTTGGTCGAGCTCTAATGGAGGTGTTAGGAGGTTGTCTGTGTCAAATAATGATTCCGAAAATCTCTGTCTTGGTATCTTTTATGGCGTTTCGTCTCAGATCCATCGCCTCCGATACGTTACGGGATTAATTGGTTAATCACCATTAATAGCATTCTTAAATCCCTGGATCCACGATTCTCATTCAATACTTCTTTCTTCTAGGCGGTGAAACTTCACCTATAAAAAGGTATGTCTTCTCCCCATAAATATCATCCTCACCAACCCGAAGCTTATTCTTAGTATAATGGCTAGCTCATCTATTATTATGACTGGTCTAGAGTCTGGACGTTGTTCATCCACCATGGAGGTACTGCTTCTCAGCGGTGGAGAACTTCTGGGTGTAATCTACACCGTGTAGATATGCTCCTCCGGGATGCTAAGGTGATTCCATTCATTAAAGTCATGTTCATATTTGTTTATGAACACCAGCGGTGTCTATATTCATAGTCATTAAAATTTCCACTTTGGAGATGGTTTTGACTCCGGTTGTTTGTTTATTTATTTATTTTCAAATCATTTTCAGCCACACTCATACCCATGACCAGGAATGTGCACACGGATTCTCTCGCCAAGGAGGTGAGATACAGTGGTATTTTCTTTTCCCATATATATATCAGACCCAGCCGGACAGAGTGTCTCTTCGGAACGACTCAGGCCTGACTACCACTTGATCTTAAACAATGGACGTCGACAAAAAAAAAAGAACAAAATCTAAAAATAAAAATTGAAACTAAAAACTAATGAAAAACAATCATCACCACAAATTTTGGTGAACTGATTTTATACCAAAACATTCTTTAAATTAAGACAAAAACCCAATTATATAAATTTTAAATCAGAAAAAATTTCCGCGCTTTTAAGCGCGGGTCTAAATCTAGTATCCTATTTATACTAGCCTCAAAACTCGATGTACCTTTATTCCTTTAAGAAAACATCCTTATTCCACTAAAGGTACTTTACTTTTTCTTAAAAAAAGTATATCGTATGGTCGCATTCGGCTGGACTTAGCTTAATATAGCTCCCATCCAGACAGTTAGTCACATCCTTGAGCACTGCACGTCTCTTATGCTTAAAAGAAGCCTCAGTAGGATGATCATATGATGTCATTCGTTTCTTAACCTTTGGTTCCTGTATAAGAAAAGGTTTGGATGAAGACCCTAAGGCCTTAGCTCGTGATCTCGTCACTCTCACATTCTCTGGTCGAGTTTTTATTGTTTCTTTGTTAGCTTTAGGTTGCTTTGAAGAATCTTTAGGCATACTTTTCAAATTGGAAAACTCTCCACAGGTTTGCCAAGCCTGCACAAGTACGTAAACAGATTATTAAAAAAAGAATTTACATTGAGAGAATAGTTTTATTACAATGAAGTCTGTGTTCTTCATATGTAAGTAAACCTATTGATAATAAATTATTAACCTTTCCACGAAAAGAAAAATGTCTGAAAACATAGATCAATCATAAAATAGAACAATCAACAGACAGATGTATAAGACGTCAGACATGTGGAGAAGTGATGATACCTTCAAATCATGAATATCGAACTTGAGACGATGATCTCCAATGGGAAAAGCTGTTAGAGTATCTCGAATTGGGGTTCTTATGGCTGGGTTTTTAATGGAATATAAGAACCGTCTCTTAAGACATTTAAAAACAGGCTCTTAGTTTTCTTAGTTAAAAGTTAAGAGACATGTTCTTATATTACGCTAAGAAGGCCGTAGAACCCATCATTGGAGATGGTCTTAAAATAACAGAAGGAGCGGGATTTCGTGGTCTTGTTCGAATTTTTGATATTAGAAAAATATGATGTTTATTGAAAGTAATAAAGAAAATTTGACTTGTCCAGTTATCAGATTATTGAGACTAATTATGTTTATATTTTGTTATAAAGCATAATTTATACATGTATAAATACAAAAAGATAGCTAGCTGATAATTAATTTAAAAATACAATTAATAAAAAATATAAGTAGGAAATGATACTACATATTTAAAATATATTTTAATTAAATGTAAATTATTTATATTTTAGTAATTTAAAAAAATATACTAAAAGTTAATAAAATTATTAACATAAATCAGCGTATAGCGCGGATAAAAAACTAGACTAGTTACGATTGTTTTAGTTTTTTATTTTTTCATATAAGAATATTACTAATACTAAAAATGAACACTCTAAATCCATACCTAATTTACAATGATTTTATGATGAACTTTTTCACTTATATTTTGTCATTTATTGATTGGTATCAACCGTTATTTAACACCGAATTACTTTGTCGTTATTTTCTACCAATTTGTGAGCGATTTATATTACTGTTCCTATTTTGTTGGTCATTTGATGCTAAATAACAACATTTTTTTTTGTAATTAACTGTTTTTGCAGTGAAAAGCGCATAACAAAATGATTACGGTGTCAATTAATTAACAAAAAAAACAATTTAGTTTCAATGTAGGATTCATATTTGAGTTCTTTTTTTCATATCATATTTTTAATAGTTTTGATGTATTACCTAAAAGTTTGTTTATGTTTTCTTTGATGTGATGTATTTTTATTAACTTATTACTGTATGCTTTGATAGATTTGATTGAATTAAAGAAGGGTGTAACTGAAATATATATTTTTGGAATGAAATCTTTGTTAAATTCCTCAAAATGTACACTAGATAAAATGTTAAAGAGTATTCTATTTCATTTCATATTATTCCACATCATAGAAAAAATATATTCATTTTTTGGAACACCATCTTTGGAAACACAATCGTCATTCATTTAAAAAATTACTAGATTTTGATCCGCGCAACCGCGTGGGTGTTTGTTTTCGTTTATAGTTAGTTATATAAACATTTTGTTTTCATTTGTAAATTGGTATATATTATAACAATCACATATTTACGATGTGTATAGTAAATATTTTTCAAACATAATAATATTATATAATACGTGTTTTAATCAAATAGATTGTTTCAAATTTTCTATATTATACATGTTTTTCAAACATGTGTTTGTCTTTTCTTCTATATTTTATTGTTGGTAGATTATTATTTCATTTTTAAATAAAGTAATATAAATAGAGCTTGATTAAATATTTGTATACTTTAATTTGCAAAGATAATATAAACTTCGAAGAAATTTTTGATAAAAACTAAACTTATAGCTTCATAAATTAATATTATAAAAAAATTATTAAAAAAAAACATTTTTTAAAAAACAATATAATTTTAAAAATTTACATCGAAATAATTTTATCTAGTATATATCGCGTGTAAATTTTGTTAGGGTATATAAATATTCCATATTGCGAATCTGTGATTTTTGTTTATATATTATGGATGCATTTAACTATTATTGACGTATTTCCTTATAAATAATAGAAGATTCCTAAACTTATATCTATTTACATATTTAGCCTGACTAAGTTGGAAGATGTGGGGGTAATTTACCCAAACCAAATTGTTAAGCGTATCTTTGTTATTATAGATATGATTTTTCATAAGATATAATAATGATAAGATTATTAGAGAGTTAATGTAACATGACTTTCTTGTAATAGTCCATTTTTTAAAAAATCACACATGAAGTTAATTCATGACTTCCGTTTTAATATAAAAGATTATTTTCTAGTAATAGTAAGTCATGACTTCTGTTTTAATATATAAGATTCCACTTCAAAAAAAATGGAATAAATGGAGTATTAATTTCACTCCATAAAATTATATAAATAATTATTCATATCATTTAATTTCATTTTTATTAGTCACTAGCTAGTTAGAACAAAAATTTTAGATGAATAAAACCTTTTAAGTTATAAGAATAATAACAATGAATAGCAATCTCTATACTATTACAAGAAATTAAAAGCCTTTAAATTTTATTGACTTTGTGTCTTTAACAGGTTAAATTGATAAGCTTCATCTAAACGAAAATCAATCGACATATAGTAAAATGACCTAAATCCGTTATATAATTTATGTTCCCTTGAAACTCTTAAGGTGGAATTTTTTCTCCATCTTTTTCAAAAAAAAAAAAAAAAGAATTTTTTCTCCAACACACCATCTTTCTAAAAACAATGTCATAAGTTGTGGCCCTCGAGTACACACCATTAATAAGCAAGGACCAGAACTCGGAGAAAAAACAATAATAGTTGTCGGACTGAAAGTGCAATTTACATGACTAGAACATAAGAATACAAATTTAATTGCAAGTATCATTTAATATTTCTGGCATTGCGATTAAGAAAGATTTGTCGTAGAAAACAATCGAAAATCTCTTGACACATATGTTTCCAAAAAAATAAAAATCTTGACACATATCACATGAGGTTCACATTGACCGTAACAAGATAGGCATCACATATTATGGCCTTGCAGTGGTTACTTTGATCACAAGACAGGCGTCTTCATTTTGGCGTAGAGATATTAAAAATATAACGTATTAATCAACGTCGATTAAAACCTTATCCTTCCAAGCTAACGACGTGGGCTCACATTTTATCCTTCCTCTAGTGTTGTAGTTGCTTTCTCTCGTTCCATGTCTACCTAAACAACATAAACAAAACAAATTTGAAAACATAAAAACTACTAAACGATTGCTTTAATTTTTCTAAAGGCCTAAAGTTTGACATAAACCACATAGTTACGTGTTAGTGTTGCGTGGCTACCTCATAACAAAAATCTTGATATATAGCAAAACAATTTTCTGATAAAAATCTTGGTAGTCATTTGAAGCCACTAAATACATTTAGCGGTTGGTTCAATTAGGTGACAGAGAATTATATGTTAGGGAACTAGGTGTTTTTGCCCGCATGTGCGGGCTTGATAATTTTACTAATATCTATAAATAAATATGTAATCAATTTAAGTAACATTAAAATAAGTTATTGTTTATATATTCAAAATATTTAATAATAAACAAATTATTTTTATATATTAGATTTTTCATCATAATATAATAATTTTCATTACATAAATTAAATTTAAAAACACGCATAAGTTAAAATATTTAGCAATAAATTAATATCCAATTTTAAGACATGACAAAAAAAATTGAGTATAGTAAAATTATTTTTATTGCGTAAAATAAATTTGAAATACTCTTGTATACATAAAAATATATAGAAATAATATGTAGGAATTTATATTTCTTTTAGTTATATTTTTAAAATAATATGAAAAATAAAATTTTGATAGCACAATATAAATCATTTTTATCTATAATTATCAAATCAATGATTTCTTTTAATTTATGATAAACTATAGATTAAAAAATATAATTAGTTTTCAATGATGATAAAGATTTTATGACACAATATAAACAAGTTATATAAGGATAATTATAAAATTAGTTAAATTCGTTTTTACTTTATAATTAATTATATATTAATAAATATAATTATTTTTCAAGAAAACATAACATAAAATATTTTTAGATAAGGATAATTTTCAAATCATTGAATTTCGTTTTTATTTATGGTTTATGTATGAAATTTTTTTAATTATTCATTAAAGATATAAACGATATTAACCAGACTAACTTTTAACGTGAGAGCTCCATTGCTAAAAATCACTTTGCAAATAATAGTATAGGTTACCTAACCTTTTTATCGGGATAGAGATTGTTATACGAAATTTTTATTTATATAAAATGTATAAAAGTAAAAAAAAACAATTATATACATAAACTCAACATTACGATAAAGTCAAATATATTTTACATGAAATTTTTCACAAATAGTTATATTTTTTCTTTATAATATCACTGTTATTTCAGAATTTTAAATAGTTAAAACACATTTTATTTCAAACATATATGTATCTTAAACATAAATAATTATAATAATAATGTTATTATTATTTTCGAACTTATATTATATTTATTAAAACATATAATCTGGAGAATAATGTCCTTTCACATCTAATAAACTATAGTTTCCAAAAACTTAAAGGGAAAGTGTATTATTCAAACTATAAATAGTGTATTTTCAAAGCATCCCTTATTTATTTATTATTTTTTTTTGTCACAAACAAAGCATCCCTTATATTATCTGTTATTACTGAGTGAGTATTATCTTATAAAATTACTGTCCAAAATGGTTGCCTTTTGACTGGTAGCTCCAGAGTTAAGTAACGTACATGAATGCATGACCAGTTTGGCTTCTACCACATTTTCTTATCTTTAGTGTACTAGACGGTTTCTTAAATCATTAAAGAAAATCGAAAAGGAAACAAAAATAGTTGAAAAATAGAGCAATGAACATAAATGTCTGAATAGATATATAACACACAAGCTTCTACCTTAATCATCATTATTATCATCACTCTAGAAAACTTGAGACATAGCTATACGGAAAAGAGATGGCTACCATTTGGTTTCTCTCATCAGTTATCTTTCTCACATGTCTTCTCCTCGCCGCCTTCAAACGCAAGAAGCAGCAACGAGGACCACCATCTCCTCCTGGTTTTCCAATCATCGGAAACTTGCACCAGCTAGGAGACTTACCACATCAATCTCTATGGAGACTATCCAAAAAGTATGGCCCTGTGATGTTTTTGAAGCTTGGAAGAGTCCCAACGGTAGTAGTTTCTTCCTCTGAAACAGCTAAACAAGCTTTGAAAATCCATGACCTCAATTGTTGTAGCCGTCCAAGCTTAGCAGGTACCATAACTCTAACTCAACACATACTGAAGTTTTTTTGCTCTGTATTCATAGGATTCATTAAAACCAAAGTCAGAGCTGTGCTTATAGCTATAGCAAAAAGGCATTAGCCTCATGCCTCAGAAAATTTGTCAAAATTTGGGGCCCCAAATCTCTAATTTTTTGTTTTATTGGTTTAGAAATAATTTTATTTCTTTCTTGTTTAATCTCAGTCAAACACCAACAAAATATATGCTTTTCTTTTTATTTTTTTATTCAAGTTTTAAATTTGCTATTTTTTTTACAAATTTGTTTATACAAAATTCTTCTTACATTTGCATTTTATAATTAGTTTTTGTCACATTCAGTGGTATGAAGGTTAACATGCTATATTTAGTTTTTGTTTATGATAAATGCACAAACATATATTCGTTGATTTATTCTGTCATATGAATAGTTTTTTTGGAATTTTTTAAAAAGTGTAAAAATAAATTTCATGAATTAATATGAATACAATTTATAGTAAAAATTCAAAAATGGAATCATTTAAAGTTTAAACTCATTGTTATTTTGATGTTATTTTATTACTTTTATCTTCATGATTTTATATCATTATAAAATTATTATAATTATCAATATATATATATATAATAAATTTAAAATTTTCCTTAGGCCCTAGAACTCGCACGGCACTGACCAAGGTCTTCTCAAATTATTCTAGATCATGTTCCAAAACATATTAAATATATATTTATTAATATAATAAAATAGTTCTAAAAGTCAAAAGCTCTATTTATATATGTTTAACAATTTTTTTTCAAAAATTATTATCTCTAACTTAGCAGTATATGTTTTGATTTTTTTTTTTAGTTTTTTTTTTCGGACCCTCTTTTACCATTCCACTTACACATGTCATAGACGGTTCTCATTCAATTCTTCATCATTTCTCAGGGCCAAGAGAGCTTTCTTACAATTATCTGGACATTGCTTTCTCTCCCTATGATGATTACTGGAAAGAACTAAGGAAGATGTGCGTGAAAGAACTTTTCAGTCCTAAACGAGTTCGTATGATTCAACCTATCAAGGACGAGGAAGTTAAGAAACTGATCGAGTCAGTCACGGAATCAGCTTCTAGTATAAGTCCGGTTAGCTTGAGCGAGAAGTTTCTTGCTTTAAATGTAAGTGTAATATGCAAGGCAGCCTTTGGTCTGAGTTTCCAGGAAACTGTTCTCAACAATGACAGATTCAATAAGTTAGTCCGCGAGGCCTTTTTGTTCTTGGGGAGCTTCTCTGCCTCTGATTTTTTTCCAAATGGCGGCTGGATCATCGACCGGCTCACGGGGTTACAAGGATGGAGAGAGAGGAGTGTTAGAGATCTCGATGCTTTCTATGAACAAATGTTTGAGTTGCATAAACATGGAAACAAAGACAGAGTTGAAGATTTTGTGGACTTGCTTCTGAGGTTGGAGAAAGAAGAAGCTGTTCTTGGCAATGACAAGCTCACAAGAAACCATATCAAAGCAATCTTGATGGTAAACTATATAGGGCAAATCTCTCAAACAGACTCTTTTAAGTTTTTATCATGACCAAAATATCATTTTTTATTTTGAAAATTTTAATTTTTAATTTTTAATTTTTTTTGAAATATTACCTCCAAACCCTCGCTCCTTAACTCTAAACAAAAAGTCTAGAATTAGTTAACCCAAAAGGTATAAGTCTATATTTACTTATTTTTAATAAAACATTTACGTCTATTCTGATCACTTTTATTTTTAAGGTTTATATTTGTGATAAAAACTTTTTTTTAGGTTCATGCTAGGAAATTTCTCAACTATATATATATACAAACTCGTAGGATATACTCTCTAACAATAATTGAGTTCTAATGTTTTTTTGGTTGGGATATTGTGACAGAACGTTCTTCTTGGAGCCATTGATACTTCAGCAATAACAATGACATGGGCAATGGCAGAACTTATAAGAAACCCAAGAGTGATGAAGAAAGTACAATCCGAAATCAGAAACCAGATGGAGAATAGATTAGTGATCACTTTGGAAGACATAGATCAGCTCCATTACTTGAAAATGGTGATCAAAGAAACATGGAGGTTACATCCTCCAGTACCTCTTCTAGTTCCAAGAGAAGTAATGTCTGAATTTGAGATCGATGGCTACAATATTAAACCCAAGACACTGCTTTACGTGAATGCATATGCCATTGGGCGTGATCCTGATACATGGAAAGACCCTGAAGTGTTTCTCCCAGAGAGGTTTTTGGATAACGACATTGATGCAAAGGGACATCACTTTGAGCTGTTACCATTTGGAAGTGGCAGGAGAATCTGTCCTGGAATGTACATGGGGACAGCAACGGTTGAGTTTGGTCTAGCGAATATGTTGTATCAATTTGACTGGAAGTTACCAGAAGGCATGGTGGTGGAAGATATCGACATGGAGGAAGCTCCTGGCCTCGCTGTGGGAAAGAAAAAGGAGCTTCTACTTGTTCCTGTTAAGTATTGAGAAACATTGTTCACTTGAAACTATATAAGTTCTTTATGAGACTGAAAATAATACCTAGCAATGATTGTATAAAAAAATTCTCTAAGATCCTTCATATAAATATATCAGTGATAATATTCTGAAATATATCTCTTACTAGTATTATGGCCCCTGCTATGCAGGGGCAGAATTATTGCCAAAATTATTGTAAAAAATAGAAACACGAATATATGAAGTTAATTTAAATCAAAAATATGCAAAAGAAAATACTATTTTGATAGAACCATATTCTTGCATTCTTAACATAACAACAATAATGTATTTTCAAATATTCAAATACTCACGGATGTAATGTGAAAAGAAAAATATTATATTTTGGGTCCCTTATATTCTCTCATCGTATGAAAGCATAACATGTTTCTGGTGATGGTCATGAGTGTTGGTGTGTTAGGCAATGCGTGAAACTGTCTTATTTTTCTCAGACAACAAACAAAAAAAAAGATTAATTCAAAGATCTCCAAATGAATAAAACTGAAATTGTTCTTTCAAACATGTTAGGAAAATAGGACACATGTTAGGAAAATACGACTACCTTGTATGGTTTATTTCTTTACAGTTTACCAAATAACTTGCAAATATTGTTGAATTCTTAAGCTACAAATCTTAATAACTGAAATTTCATGAGGAACATTGATTACCATTAATTTGGATGAATATAGAGATACAAACCTTTAATAACTGACAAATGTTTTGATGGATGAACTTGAACGTAATGATAGACGAAAATATTTGACGGAGCGTTACACATTTGAACGTCATGACTGTTAGACTTTGAGTTGGCGTCTTCTCGTTCTACTTCTTTATCCAGTAGTATTGAGATTTTTTTTTTTTTTAATGTTTGGGGTGCTCTGAATTTTATTTGAGACAAATAGTTTACAGTTTTTTATTACTTTATTAAAGTTGGAGCAAATAAGAAATTTAAATGCATAAAAATGGAGATCGTGGGAGAAGATAGTTAGTGGAAGAATAATTTTATTGAGAAAACTGAAAAATATAATATATGAAAAAGAAACAAACTGAAACCTAGTTTTATCCAACGATTTTTTTTCAAAAAAAACTGCAAGAAAAAAAAATAATTTAACTTTTCAAAAATGCCACTTGTCATTCACAAAATTGTCAATTGACTTGTGTTTTATAGTATAAAAGATTTATTAAAGGAGAACATTGCAATAAATGCATTCACACTTTAAAATACACATATCGGCTTCACAATGATTTGAGAATGAAAACACTGATGTGCCCCTTGTAAAAAGCTTCTCAGCCAAGCTCTACATAAATGCGTTCACAATATATATTTTCTAATTTTTCTTTTCATATAAAATTCACATACAAGGTTCTAATAAAAATAACGCTATCCATATTTTTCGGCTCGAATCAAATGCATAATAAAAATGCATAATTTTTATTCTTTACGGATAGAGCTGGACAAAATATTTAAAACTTTTTATTCTTTTTGGTTTCCTTTTTGATTTGAACTGAAAAATCTGGATATTCTTAATTCTTAAGTAAATCAAATACTAAAATGCAATATCCGTAAAAAACAAATAAAATCACAAATATTAATATTTTTAGGAATGAATATCTGATTAGATATGTTATATGCATAGATATACATATATTAAAAAAATTATATATACAATATAATTTATATAAGTATTACAATATTGTTATGTACTAAATTTATATAAGTATTACATGGGAAGACCCTGAAGTGTTTCTCCTAGAGAGGTTTATGGATAATAACATTGATGCAAAGGGACAGAACTTTGAGCAACTTTGAGCTGTTACCGTTTGGAAGTGGCAGGAGAATCTGTCATGGAATGTACATGGGGACAGCAACAGTTGAGTTTGGTCTGGCGAACATGTTGTATCAGTTTGACTGGAAGTTACCAGAAGGCATGGTGGTGGAAGATATCGACATGGAGGAAGCTCCTGTCCTTGCTGTTGGAAATAAAAAGATGCTTCTACTTGTTCCTGTTAAGTATTGAGAAACATTGTTCACTTGAACTAATAGTGGGACGGATCCGGATATCCGAGAAATTTAGAGTATCCGGATCTGGATTCGTCGGATCCGTAATTTTAGTATCTAGAATCGGATTTGTTTCTTTCTGATAGCCAGGGTTCAGATATCCATCTAGAAATTGTAATATCCGCGGATATCCGGATTCGGATCCATAAAAATAATAAATAAATAAATAAAAAATATTTTAAAATACAAAAAATCTAAAAATAACATATAAATTAAATATAATTTATAAATTTATAAATATATTATGATATATAATATTATGAAAATTAAGATATAATATTATACGACTCGTTTTTATGTATAAATATTAATATATCAAATATAACTATTAATAAAACTGAAATTAATATATTTTAGAAACACAGATCCGAATCCAGATATCCGGACCTAAATTTGTGATATCCGGATCTGGATTCGGTTTTCACGGATCCAAGATTTTACTATCCGGATTCGGATCCGGACTTCCCGGATATTCTATTTTCGGAGCGGATCTGGAACGGATCTCGGTTCGAATCTGGATCCCAAATAATAAATCTCAGCCCTAACTTGAACTATATAAGTTCTTTATGAGACTGAAAATAATACCTAGCAATGATTGCATAGCAAATTCTCTAAGATCCTTCATATAAATACATCAGTAATAATATTCTGAAATAAAAACTCGCTGGCCACTGGTAATAAAATTTAAAATCTGGACTCCCCAGCATCCGGTGACCGAAACGTACTCCGACCGATAACATAGACTGATACGGACATTCGCTGCTCTAGATCCATTTTGGTGGATGCCAAGATACACTGGATTATTTAAAAAAAAATATACCTGAAATTAGAATTAACACAAGCTGAAGGTAAGCCAGAAACATAGGAGTGTGAGAGAGCTGAGGACACTGAGACAACAAAGGAACAAAGATACCCGTAAAAGCGGATCTTCAGTCTTACGACATTATTATTTATCCATTAGTCTCCAAATAGGCTGTTTCTAATACAGTTTTTAAGAATTAAACTATAAAATTGACTGGATGATTGTGGTCGAATGGTAAGGAGACGGGACTTAGACACCAACATGTTTTAGGTTCGATCCACCTGCGGCGCGAAACTAAATCACAATTATCCTGGTCACCTAACACATATATGAGCTCATACTTTAGGGCACATTTAAATACTCAGAAAGAGATATTATCCGTGAGCTGCACCTCTTCTTGAGAAATGATCTTGGTTTTTTCCATAGGTCTAGAATACCCCCAAGTTAATAAAAAAAAATGAAGAGAAAAAGTGAAAATGTTTTCGAGAAATTACCTAAGATAACATTTTTTTACTTTATTTTCACCAAAAAACCATAAATCATAAAGTCACCAAAATAAGTTTATTGAAGGGTAAATATATTCTTATACCTCTAAGGTTAATTAATCATGTATTTTTTTGTTTAGAGTGAAGAGATGAAATTTTTGGGGTGGAGCTTAAAATATTCAAAAATAAAAATTAAATGTTAAAAATTAAAAATAGTTTCAAAAAGTATTTTCGAATTTCAAAACAATTTTTCAAAAGAAAATTTGAATAAAAGTTTATATAGAAAGCTCAAATTTGAAAACATATAATCCAAAATTGTAAAAAAAAAAATATTTTTTAAATATTTTTATATTTTTATATTTATACATGTATAAAATAATATATAGAATGATCTTTTGTCTCTTTACTATTTTCTTGAATGCTATTTTGGTGATAAAAATTTGATATATGCGCATTTGAGAGAATTGTCCAATGTTTTTTAGTGGAAGAAATTATCTAAAGTTTTATTGATATCCTATCTATACTATTATTTTCATAGGTTCCTTTTTTTAAAAACAAGATTTAATCGTAATAGCATATTAATATCTTCAGTGGTAAGACCTACAAAAGTAAATACCTAAATATATAACCAAATTATTGGTCAAATTGATTTTTTAAACAAATTAAGTAAAAAAAAAATTGAACTATTTATCCCTTGATATCTGTAGATCTCACAAATTCATTGCTAGATATGTGAGATACTTTCCTAGTTATCATTATCATTTTTTAACTGAGTAGATTGACTATACCATTGTTTCTATATGATTGGTTAATTCTGACGTACGTGGCTGACAGTAAACTCCTACAACAAATCTTCCTCATTTTAGAGGATTTCTTAACATAGAAGAATAAAAATTCGACATGAAACAAAACTTGTTGAAAGCAGACCAATGACCACACTCATATGTCTGAAAATGGATTTATAAAAAGCACAAGCTTCCTTCATCATCATCACCAAGAAAACTTGAGACATAGCTATACAAAAAAAAAAAAGAAGATGGCTACGATTTGGTTATTATCAGTTATCTTTCTCACATGTCTTCTCCTCGCCGCCTTCAAACGCAAGAAGCAGCAACGTGGACCACCATCTCCTCCTGGTTTTCCAATCATCGGAAACTTGCACCTGCTAGGAGACTTACCACATCAATCTCTATGGAGACTCTCCAAAAAGTACGGTCCTGTGATGTTTTTGAAGCTTGGAAGAGTCCCAACGGTAGTAGTTTCTTCCTCTGAAACAGCTAAACAAGCTTTGAAAACGCATGACATCAATTGTTGTAGCCGTCCAAGCTTAACAGGTACCGTGACTCTCACTCAACACATAATAACGTTACTTTTTTCATATATTTATAGGGTTTATTAATTTTTAATCATTTCTCAGGGCCAAGAGAGCTCTCTTACAATTTTCTGGACATTGCTTTCTCTCCCTATGATGATTACTGGAAAGAAGTCAGGAAACTATGCATGCAAGAGCTCTTTAGTGCTAAACGAGTTCACTCAATTCAACCAATCAAAGACGAGGAAGTTAAGAGGCTGATCGGTTCAGTCACAGAATCAGCTTCTAGTAAAAGTCCAGTTAACTTGAGCGAGAAGTTTCTTGATTTGACTGTAAACGTGATATGCAAGGCAGCGTTTGGTCTGAGTTTCCATGAAACTGTTCTCAACAATGACAGATTCAACAAGTTAATCCACGAGGCGTTTTTGTTCATGGGAAACTTCGCTGCCTCGGATTTTTTTCCAGCTGGTGGCTGGATCATCGATAGGCTCACGGGGTTACAAGGACTTAGAGAGAGAAGTGTGAGAGGTCTTGATGATTTCTATGAACAAATGTTTGATTTGCATAAACAGGGAAACAAAGACGGAGTTGAAGATTTTGTGGACTTGCTATTGAGGTTGGAGAAGGAAGAAACTGTTGTTGGATATGGCAAGCTCACAAGAAACCATATCAAAGCAATCTTGATGGTAACTATACAAAAATTTGAGATACAATAGTAAGAAATACACTATAACAATTTGAGATAGATAGATGGATAAGAGTCATAAATATTTTTACCTTAATTAATGAAAATTTCGATAATTCGGGGTCATACAAACCTAGGAATAATAACTCTTCAAAATTTTAGAGGCAAAACGAATGTTTCATCCGGTTGTGCCCTGACCAGTTTTGCACTCACAATATTGACTCTAACTTCTTTTTTGGTTGGGATCTTGTGACAGAACGTTCTTCTTGGAGCCATAGATACTTCAACAATTTCAATGACATGGGCAATGGCAGAACTTATAAGAGACCCGCGAGCGATGAAGAAAGTACAATCCGAAATCAGAAACCAGATGGAGAACAGATCAGTGATCACTTTGGATGACATAGACCAGCTCCCTTACTTGAAAATGGTGATCAAAGAAACATGGAGGCTACATCCTCCAGCACCTCTTCTAGTTCCAAGAGAAGTAATGTCTGAGTTTGAGATTGATGGCTACAAGATTCAACCCAAGACACTCCTTTATGTGAATGCATGGGCCATCGGGCGTGATCCTGATACTTGGAAAGACCCTGAAGTGTTTCTCCCAGAGAGGTTTATAGATAATAACATTGATGCAAAGGGACAGAACTTTGAGCTTTTACCATTTGGAAGTGGTAGGAGAATCTGTCCTGGAATGTATATGGGGACAACAATGGTTGAGCTTGGTTTGGCGAATATGTTGTATCAGTTTGACTGGAAGCTACCAGAAGGCATGGTGGTCGAAGATATCGACATGGAAGAATCCCCTGGACTCACTGTTGGAAAGAAAAAGGAGCTTCTACTTGTTCCTGTTAAGTATTGAGAAACATTGTTCAATTAAAAACTATATAAGTTCTTTATGAGACTAAAAACAAACATCAAACCTAGCAATGACCGCATAGAAAATTCTCTAAGATCCATCATATATATATATATATCAGTGATAATATTCTGAAAATAGATTATCTATTGAAGATTGAATCCGTTGTATCAATTTGATTATCAGTGATTTAGTAAAAGTTTGGATAAAAATAATATTTTTCTTCAAAAAAATTTAAAGGTCATAGATGAATGTTTTTGTGTCCATGAGCGGCCTTGTGCACTTGTTGGATCTAAAGTTGATTATGGAAAGCTTATTCTTAAAGTTAAACACTAATGGTAATCTAAGAAAATCGGCTCCATTCATCAAAAAGTTCAAAAAATAATAATTTGGATCACAACTTTGTTATACCATAGATACTAGCACTGATAAACATTGATTACCGGAAAAAATATAATGGAAAAAAAAAGGAAAAAAGTTTCTGAGCTACACGAAGTTTACACTAATATGGTGGAAACCATCCAATGTATAAAAATGTGTTAAGAACTACACGAAGTATATGTTAATACATGTCACATGTACGAAGTAAATGATATTATGGTGGCAACATCACAATCGGATTTAATTGTTCTTAAGCTAAGTTAATGGGGTCAATCCGTAATTTATGAAACTTAATAAACTTAATTGATTTTAATTATTAAAGTTAATAAAATTAATAAACTTAATAAACATAATATTTTTTAAAACTTAATAAAATTAATAAACTTAATATTTTTTGTTAAACTTAATAAAATTATTAAACTTCATAAACTTAACAAACTTAATAACTTATAAACTTAATAAGTTATTAAACTTAATATACTTAACAAACTTAATAAACTTAATGATTTATTAAGTTTAATACATCTTATTAAGTTTAATAAATCTTATTAAGTTTATAAAGTTTATTAAGTTTTTAAAAATTATAATGTTTAATAAGCTAGAATCCTAAAACTAATAAACATAATAATTTAATAAATTTATTAAGTTTAGTAAGTTTAATAATTTAATAAATTTATTAAATTATTATGTTTATTAAGTTTGCTAAGTATATTAAGTTTAATAACTTATTAAGTTTATAAGTTATTAATTTTGTTAATTTTATTAAGTTTATGAAGTTTAATAATTTTTTAAAGTTTTTTAAAAAATATTATGTTTATTATGTTTAATAATTTATTAATTTAATAATTTAAAATTTGATAAAATTAATAAACATAATAAACATACTATTTTTAAAAAAAACTTAAAAAAATTATTAAACTTAATAAAATAATTAAACTTAATAAATTATTAAACTTAATAAAAGTATTAAACTTCATAAACTTAATAAACTTAACAAAATTAATAACTTATAAACTTAATAAGTTATTAAACTTAATATACTTAGCAAACTTAATAAACATAATAATTTAATAAATTTATTAAATTATTAAACTTATTAAACTTAATAAATTTATTAAATTATTTTGTTTATTAGTTTTAGGATTCTAGCTTATTAAACATAATATTTTTTAAAACCTTAATAAACTTTATAAACTTAATAAGATTTATTAAACTTAATAAGATGTATTACACTTAATAAATCATTAAGTTTATTAAGTTTGTTAAGTTTATGAAGTTTAATAATTTTATTAAGTTTAATAAATTTATTAAGTTTAATAAATTTATTAAGTTTAACAAAAAGTATTAAGTTTATTAAGTTTATTAATTTTATTAAGTTTTAAAAAATATTATGTTTATTAAGTTTATTAATTTTATTAACTTTAATAATTAAAATCAATTAAGTTTATTAAGTTTCATAAATTACGGATTGACCCCATTAACTTAGTTTAAGAACAATTAAATCCGATTGTGATGTTGCCACCATAATATCATTTACTTCGTACATGTGGCATGTATTAACATATACTTCGTGTAGTTTTTGACACATTTTTATACATTGGATGGTTTCCACCATATTAGTGTAAACTTCGTGTAGCTGAGAAACTTTTTTCCAAAAAAAAATGATGAATGGTGGTTATATAGCAGTACTGTTGTGCCACCTCAGCTCTCATAAACCTCTGAAAAGAAGAACATGAGAAAAAAAAAAAAAAAGCATTACAATGGTCGTGGTCCAAGCCAGATTCTAGAGTATATGTACTTGTAGCATCTTTACTATATTCAAGTGTTTATTATCATACTCAATGAATATAGTAAAGATGGCTAATGACACTCAATGACTAGGCTTTAAAAAGGGCATAGCGATGAGAACAAATCAGATAATTTACGGTGATTTATACAATTATTACAAACTATGGGGATGTGTTTGCAAATATATAATATAATAGTACCTCTGTCTCCGTTAGAGTGTGTTGACCTGTGGCTTTGAACATCCACAGCAGAGAATGTATGAGCCATTATTTTAATTACTATAAAATATGAGGATGCGTTTGTAAAATACATAATAATCTAACCCTCTGTCTAAGTTAGATAGTTTATTGATGAACATAACAAACCTTTCTTTAGTTTTGTTCTGTCTGTTTAGTGTTTCCTCATATGGCAGTGAGCTGAAGAAAGTGTTGTGCTTTCACACAGAGATTGAGAAGGAGGATTTAAAAGCTGGAGACTTTTTAGCCAGAGGCGAGCAATGGCGGAGTTACGTCACTCCTCGAGCTCTCTCGGTAGCCACCGATCTTCTTCCTCTCCGTTACGTGCCGAAGATCGAGACCGTCCGATCTGGTGGATTCCTTTACTCGGCGACGATCTCATTAGAACTTCTCCTCAGAAGAGTAAAGTATCGATTTTTCTGATTCTTTTCCTCGCTGTCGCAAGCTTGATCTCCGTTTACGCCATTGTTAATCACTTAGTAAGACGATTTTTAAGATTTGATTCGAAAAAGGTGTTAGCTTTGTTAAGATCTTTTTTTTTTGTGTATTTTTTTGCAGAATGTGCCTTACTTGTGTAAGAAAGATGGGATTGTACTTAACTGTCCTCATGTAAGTTGTTTTTAAAAGGTTTTGGAATTTGTATATATTACTCATTCTGTTTCATAATAAGTGTGGTTGTAGAGATTTTTTTTCTTTACAAAATGTTTTTGGTTTTCAATACAAAATTCATTAGTTGTATAGGTAATTGTGTTTTTATACAGGAAATATACAAAATTAATTGTTTTATTAATCTGTGTGCACAACTCTAGAATGACACTTATAATGAAACAAATGGAGTATAAGCTTTTAATCTTATATTTTTAACTTGAAGTGTGTGTGTTTTGTAAGGTTAAGGAGTCAGGTTCTCGTTGGGAGAATCCTTTGTCTGCAACTACTTCTTGGAAGCCTTGTGCTGAGCGGCGCATTGGTGGAGTCTCAGGTATAATTAATATCTATAGAGAGAATCTTGAGAATGGTTTGTGTTGTGTCAGCTTATAAGCAAATCTCACTAACTTTTGTTTTTTTTTTTCAGATGTTCTTCCTGAGAATGAAACTAATGGATATGTTTTCATTCATGCTGAAGGTGGTTTGAATCAGCAGCGCATTGCTGTATGTATCTTCCATGATTTTATCTCCTATCATGGATCAATATGACTATATGAGTTATGGTTTTTTTTTCTCACAGATCTGTAATGCAGTAGCTGTTGCCAAGATTATGAATGCAACTCTTATTCTACCAGTACTGAAGCAGGACCAAATTTGGAAAGACCAAACGTATGCTTTCTAACTTTCTAGTCATTGCTGCTACTTTGTATTCTTGTTATGATGATATGAGCAAAATGAATTAGGAGTCAGACACTCTCTCTGTTTTTTTTTTATTAGTTTACTGAATCTGCAAACTTTGTTTTTGGCAGGAAATTTGAAGACATTTTTGATGTAGATCATTTCATTGATTACTTGAAAGATGATGTCCGAATTGTTAAAGATATACCTGACTGGTTCACTGACAAAGCAGAGTTATTCTCTAGTATAAGGTTTGCTTTTCAACTCTTTATTTTATTTGACAATCATATACTTGTTTCAAAAGTGAGCGTGTGGGGCTATGACATCATCTAAGACTCTATGTGAATATATCTGATTTCAAAATAAAGATTTTGACCGAGTTATATACTTGTCTTCTGCAGAAGAACAGTCAAAAACATTCCCAAATATGCAGCAGCACAGTTCTATATAGACAATGTTTTGCCAAGGATAAAGGAGAAGAAAGTAATGGCATTGAAGCCTTTTGTTGATCGACTTGGGTATCTATATTCTCTAGTTTAAGGCTCAGCCTTTTGGAAATTTTCTTATACACAAATGAATGATATGTATCCTTGTGGTGCTGGAAAATTTTGCAGGTATGACAATGTACCTCAAGAAATCAACAGATTAAGATGCCGTGTAAATTATCATGCCCTCAAGTTTCTCCCAGAGATAGAGCAAATGGCTGATTCAATTGCTTCTAGAATGAGAAACCGCACTGGAAATCCAAATCCTTATATGTATGAGATAATATCAAACACATAGAAGAGCTTTGTATCAACTTGAGACCTTTAAGTATCACTTGTTTTCTCTCTTTGTACAGGGCTCTTCATCTTAGATTCGAGAAAGGAATGGTTGGTCTGTCGTTTTGTGATTTTGTGGGAACAAGGGAAGAGAAAGCTAGAATGGCGGAATACAGACAAAAGGAATGGCCTCGGCGCTTCAAGGTGGAGTTTGATTTACTTGTTTTTGGTGCCTAAAACAACCTCAGCAGCTGCCTTAACGAATTTTGCTTGACATGTGTTGCAGAATGGTTCTCATCTTTGGCAGCTTGCCTTGCAGAAACGCAAAGAAGGGAGATGCCCTCTTGAGCCAGGAGAAGTTGCTGTAATCCTACGTGCTATGGGGTATCCTAAAGAAACACAAATCTATGTAGCTTCTGGTCAAGTCTATGGAGGCCAAAACCGTATGGCTCCACTAAGAAACATGTTCCCAAATTTGGTAAGAGCACTGAAACCCATAACAAAATCATTCAGCAGTCTTAGTCTCTCCTTTTAAAACAGGTAACAAAGGAGGATTTAGCAGGGAAAGAGGAACTAGCAAGCTTTAGAAAGCACGTGACAAGCTTAGCTGCTCTAGACTTCTTGGTGTGTTTGAAGTCAGATGTGTTTGTGATGACACACGGTGGAAACTTTGCAAAACTGATCATTGGAGCAAGGAGATACATGGGTCATCGCCAGAAATCAATCAAACCTGATAAGGGTTTGATGTCGAAATCATTTGGGGATCCTTACATGGGATGGGCAACATTTGTGGAGGATGTAGTTGTAACTCATCAAACAAGGACTGGTTTGCCTGAAGAAACTTTCCCTAACTATGATCTTTGGGAAAACCCTCTCACTCCATGTATGTGTAAAGTTTAACGATGCTTTTTTGGTTAGCATTGTGAGCTGAGAGATGAGTTTTGGTCTGGATCTTGTCTTTGTAGCAACTTACTATAGAGGTTTGGTAGTTTATGCTCTTTCCTTATTTTCTATATTCTGTATTAAGTCTTTCTCACAATATTATAATTTCTGTCGGGATTCTTATTCATGGGTTTCATCTCCCCCTAACTAAAATGTGACTTTATATTTAAAGGATTTCATATTGGACAAAATGATTAATTATGAGTTTTTGGTTATTAATTTAAAAGTTTGAGGTTGACAAAAAAAAAAAAATTAAAAGTTTGAGTTTAGGGCTTGTGGTATGGAAGACCTCCTGTTTAGTCTACTAAAATTTAAGATTTCAAATATCAAAGTAGTTTTAATTAGTTTATATGAATAAACATGCTATGCAATAGAATGACTAGTTTTTAGTTTACAGTCAATAGCTACAAAACCAGTTACCAAATTTTGTAACAAGATTCACATGATCTAAAAATCTTCATCTAACAAATAAACAAAAGTATTATAACCATACAAACAAACAAATTTTAATACTCATATATCTCAATAATTAAAAATTAGTCAACATTAGTAAAAATGTTTTTACAATATATGAAAGAAATCTAATTTAAAGACTCAGGAAATAAGTTCTTTGGAATTTAAATATTAATTACAAAAAAATATGTACAATAAATTATGATTAGAATGGCAATAGAAATGAATGATATGAACTGTCAATATATTTATTCATCACGAGAAGAATATACTATCTAAAGATACTACTCCACAGAAAAAAACAATAAAATGATAAAACTTCTATTCTATTTATTAAAACTAAATACACTTATAAATTAACCCTTGAAATTATAATTTATTTACACCTCAATGTCACTAAAATATTTATTTTCTTTTTCTAATTAAATAAAACATTTTCTAGATCGAATGTACAATAAATTCATAATAAATCCTAAACTTAAATAATGTATCATAAATCAAAATCTATATATTTAGGATCCTCTAAATATGCGTAATTGGTAAGTCTCACATTATTAAAAGGTCTTACCTAGTAAATTTTAACAGATGCAATAATGTACACTAATTTTTTATGATTATTAAAAATACAAATTATATCCTAATAAATAATAATATATAATGTAAGATTATTAAAGAACAAGACTTTAAGATAATCATGACTTTTACGCTTTACTATTTGTCTTAATCAAATCTGGGCAGAATATCAAGTCTTATATTTTCTCAGTATTGGTTGAGACTAATAAGGACTGTAATGGGTCCATATGTTATACCTTTCGCAGTTCTTCATTTCTTCCCCGATGGCTATTACCCGGATACCTTCTCCATCACTTCAACCGAACCTTCTTTTAAGAGAATCAGTCTTTACTTTTATACTAAGCCATTAATTTGGCTTCGTAAAGCTTCTCTGACAAGGATGGTTGAGTTTTGATGGGTTTCTTTGACCTCTTCAAAGTTGATTCAGTAGAACTGGCGCTCTTACGGTCCAATAAAGAATCTTCTTCAAGTGGTTATAAGTTTCCCCTGACTTAATTTGTGATGTAGTATGTGTTCTCCGGTTGATTGGTCACGGTTAGGGCGAAAGGTGCTTGAGAAGAAGCTGCAGAGTTCATCGGTAATTTCACAGAGTTTGCAAATTGGAAAGTTGATTGGATGATGCACGGCAGAGCAAGTCTCAGGTGGCCGGAGAAGAATCTCAGGCCGTGGTGGATGCAGATCAACGCATGAGAGACGCGTGTAGTGTAACGTGTCTCATTGATACATTCCAAACCGTACGCGTGGCGTTGCACTTCCTGTCGACGAAGCAAATATGGTTTATTTCTTTAATGTAAACTTTGTGGGTTTGGACTCTTAATTTTATTTGACTACTCTTGTATTTTCTTCTCATGTAAGTTGCTCATTTATGGGCTTTAATGAAATCAGAATGTCGACAAAAAAAAAAAAAATTATAATATGGATTTAAACCTAAATAATTGTAAATAGATGTTTTTATATTTATATTAAAAATTATTTTCGTATTGACATAATGATGAACACATCTGACCTTCCAGAATAAACTTCAACCTTTAGAACATTCTTTAGTAATCTCCATCAGATTTCCTGCCGCCGCCATCCTCCCGGCGTCGTCTTTAGCTCCAGCCACCTCATCAATCGATTCAGAGCACTGTTGTACCATGTTTCAGAACATTAAATATACGTATTATTCTACAACAGTTGTAATAAAACACTAGATGATAATACGCGCCATGCACGGTGTGATTTTTTTTTTAAATATATTGTATTTAAATACATATTTTGTTATCAATAATTTTTTTTACATTTAATTAGGAATGAACATTTGGATACAATTTGGTTCGGTTAGATTCTGTTTGGTTTAGATCTTTGCGGTTTGGTTCGAATCTTTGCAGATTCGGATAACCCATTTAATTTTTTTTAAAAGAGATAAAAATTTATATATACATTAATTTTTTTAAATTCTAAAAGTAAAAATAATATATAACATATAAGTTTGAAAAATTAATGCCAAAATACTTAAACTTAACATAAAATTTGAGTATTTGGAGTATCGTTTAACTATTTTAAAAATATACATTTAACTATTTTATATATTTCTAAGTATATAAGATATATATCTTAAATATTTGGAAAAAAATCAATAAATATTTTTCGTATTTGGAGTATCGTTTTAGCTATTTTAAAAATGTACATTTAACTATTTTATATATTTCTAAGTATTTTGGAAAATTTTAAAAACTCTCATGTTAAATTTAAAAAGAATTAATATATTTAAGTATATAAATCTGGTTCGAGTACACTCGAATACCCGAGATATGTCGATTTAGTTTTGGTTCTCTAGATACCAAAATTTCGAATCCGTTTGGATATCTAACCAATTTTAGTTAAAAATGTGTACTACTTTTTGGATTAGATTTAATTCGGTTATCTCGATTCAGTTTTTTTGTCCAACATATATTTTTATTGTAACAAAAATTTAAACGAAAGGGATGATGGTTCATATTGATTTTGGATATGCAATAATTTTTAAACAAAACACACTTTATTATGCGCGATCCATTTAGTTAATCATTATAAATTATTTAAGACTTATTAGAAAAACGATTGGCTGAATTGAAAAGTGTTATCACTCATCACAAAATTTTCAATGTGAAATTTTTAACATTTTTAGTAATTTATAATCGTTTTAAAAAATTCTAAATATAACATATAAGAAAAAATATAATTTTATTATTATATGATTAATGTGATTTTTAAATTTCTTTTCATAATATAAAATTAAATATAAAAATAAAGAGGATAAAAATATGTCATCATATCTTTATTACTCATAAACATTAATTGTGATATATATGTTAATTATATTAGTTAATTCCGTAACTTTTATATAAAGAAATAATATAAAATATTCTTTTGTACACTACTAATTAAATATGATAGTTAATATAATAAAAAATATAACATATGTTTAGTTGGACCAACATATTTTTCAAAGAGTTATAAAAATCATTCTCATTGTGATACGTGGGTATCAAAAATGTTGTAATGCTACATGATTAACATGATTAATATATAGGGAATTTAAACTACTAATCAAAAATATTATATGTGAAAATTTTCAATTTTTTATTAATTTATAATCGTTTTAAAAAATGAAAAATATAACATATATCAAAAAAATCAGTTTTTTTTGTTATATAGTTAATGTTATTGTTTAATCTATTTCGCTAATTTAAAATTTAAAAAAAAATGTTAGATGATACACTAATTTTTATTATTCAAAACCATTAATTATCATATATATTTAGTCACATTAGGCAATTCCGTAATTTTATTTAAGGAAAGAAAAATGAACATTAAGGATAAATTTATGGCTAGTTTAATAAAAAGCTTATTATAAACATAGATGGACCAATTTTTTTCTAAGGATTTCTAAGATTCATTATGGTGATGACACATGGCTACCAAAAATGTTCTAATGTTTCTCTTTTAATATATAAGGGATATGTACTATAGTTGAGATGGAACATTCTAAAGTCTAAAATGATACTTTATATTAATTATTTCTCATATGTTTCAAAATCATTTGAATTAAACAAACTTTACAAAATACGTTCAGTATTTTCTTTATGATCCTATTTTATTTCATAAGGAATAATAAGTAAAATAAACCATGGATAAAAATTTAAACATAACTTACACCACAAATTTTTTTAATTTGTAAACTATGTATAAAAACTAATATTTTCATTATTTATTAGTAATAACTAATAAATAAAAATTAAAAGCCATATGCCAGTATACTACGCACAAATAAATAGAAAGTGGTTCAACTTAACTGCGTCACATCAAAGACATAACAGTACTGTAGAATGAAAGATCATTTAATTTGAATTTTATTATAATTAAATACTATTACATCAAATGAAGATCCAAAAGTTGAAAATTGAAAATAAATATATTTTCATATCTCTGATACACATTTTATTTTCTAAAAAAATGCTATGGAAAAATATATTATAATTTTATTAAAATATATATTAGAGAACCACATTAAAAAAATATATATATATATATTAAAATAATTAAAAATAAATAATTTTTTATTTACATAATCTTCATTTGATGGTTTTTTCCAAAATATGTATTTATCTGAAACATAGATAGTTATGATGTAATTGTTTTTGTAATACTTGATAATTTTGAAGAAAATAATTGTTGAATTCACGTTTGATTAAATCATTATTAAATGTTCTATTTTTTATTTGCGGCTTTAAATTATTTATAAGATAGTATATATGTATATACATATTCGTTTTTATATAAATTAAGAAAATGGTGGATGACTAACTGAAAGCAGAGATTGATAGACGACATAATAATCATCGGCAGGAGTTTCTATAATCATGTCGTTATTTTAGAATATCTCTACAACTTTGTGCTCTCCATTTGAGTAAGTACCATCTTACATGAAAAAAAAAAACAATCTATATAGTTTATATTGATCTCCTAAAGTTATAAATAAGTAAAAGTCACAAAACCTTCTTTATCTCTTAAAGTTATTGTTTATAACGTTTTAATGGTGAGGACGACTTTGGCTCGTCGATATCCAATGCTTGGGAGTTGGTTCTTGTTTATGGCCGTATCTTTTCTTCCCTTAGGACTATTTAACCTGTAAAGAAAAGATACAAATTAGCAACTACCATAAAGTATAAGCAAGACACTATTCTTGAAAGATGTTCATAGCTTACTTGGAGACTGCATAAAACAATTTGATGAAAAATAAGAGAGGGAAACTAACGCAGCAGAAATTGTTTCACCAGGAACCAAATCCACTCGGGTTATATTGGTTTCAGAAACATTAATTTCTTCAAGAGTAGCATAAGCTTCCTCAAAAAAAAAAAAAAAAAAAAAACATCCCAATCCACTTACAGAGAACATGGAGCCTGCGAAAGTGGTCAGACTTCGCTGTGGCTGGAAACCATAATAAGAAAACACATAAAAGGTCAAACACATAATAGGAAAACATAATCAATAAATGGCATTGAAACCACCACCGTGGAAGAACAACACCCAGCATCAAATCGGAGAGCAAATATTAATGAAAAGGGCATTAGAGAGAAATAAAATTGATCTCGATATATTACTAACTGTGAGGATGATGCTAAAGGAAAGAAAACGAACCTTTGCAGAAGCATACAGAGCCAAATTTAGGCAGCAACGATTAACCCTAAAAATATGTTTCATGAGACAGAGATGAAGCTCAGGCGTCGCTGTAAAACGAAGAGGTGATCAGACCTCCATGGCTTCACGTCTTTATAGGGTTTGAGACGTAATCCTTATACTGGGATCACAAAAACATCAAATTCTAGAGCCCAAAACACGTACACACATGATCAAAGCCCATCATCGTTTTGTCACACTGGGACACGTGGCGAAATCTTGTGCCTAGACTTTCCACGCTGGCATTTCCAGGTTGGAATCCGACGTGGAGGGAGTTAGAGGGAGAGAAAGTCACTAAAGCCAAATATTTTCCAATCACTTTTTTTTAGGTTTTAGAAATGCCACTTAAAAAAAACTGTTTTTTTTTCATTTTTTTCTACAGCCACTTGTTGAGTCTTTGGGGTTTATTGGAAAGAGTTGTAGCTTTATATTTTTTTCTGTAAAATTAAAACTGTAGATATTTTTTGTTGTGGCTGTAAATAATTTTGTTGTAAGATTTTGGCTGTAGGATTAAAACTATACATACTAATTTTCTAAAGTAAAAAATAAGTGCTCTAGATTTATTGCTTTCTAGAGCCAAAAACAAAGAAAAAAGAAATAAAAATATGTAGCTTTAAAAATTCTTTACAAAGCATGATTGGTAAATATTTTTGCTTTAGAAATATTTTTGGCTGTAGAAATACTCTACAGTACTTTTAAAGCACTTGCCAATCACTCCCTTTACAACAAACTCTCTCTTCTTTTTCTATGATAAAAAANTTTATTGCTTTCTAGAGCCAAAAACAAAGAAAAAAGAAATAAAAATATGTAGCTTTAAAAATTCTTTACAAAGCATGATTGGTAAATATTTTTGCTTTAGAAATATTTTTGGCTGTAGAAATACTCTACAGTACTTTTAAAGCACTTGCCAATCACTCCCTTTACAACAAACTCTCTCTTCTTTTTCTATGATAAAAAACGTGATTTGTGACTTTCTCCTCATTTCTTACTGAAATAAAAGAAATAATAAGTATAGTGATTAATAAATTCATTTTTATTAGTTAGTTTAAGTTTTACCACCAAAAAAAAAGTCATACCTTACTATTAGTAGACTATTAATTTGTTGAAGACTAAAAAATATAAATAATTGAAATATTTAGGATAGATTCAAAAAGTATAATAATTGAAAGAAAAATAGATACAATGATTTATAAATTCATTTACATTAGTTAGTTTAAATTTTACCATCAAGAAAAAATCATACCTTACTATTAATAGACTATTAATTTGTTAAAGACTAAAAAAAATTGTATAAATAATTGAAAATATTTACAAAAGATTCAAAAAGTATAATAATTGAAAGAAAAAATAAATACAATGATTTATAAATTCATTTTCATTAGTTAAATTAGGTTTTACCATCAAGAAAAAGTCATACTTTACTATTAATAGATTATTAATCTGTTAAAAAATAAAAATATTGTATAAATAATTAAAAACATTTACGAAAGATTCAAAAAGTATAATAAGTGAAAAAGTGGCGTATTGTGAAAGATGAAGCAAGGTATAGCATATCTACAATGCGTCAAATTGTGGTGGCAACCATGAATCTCCATAACTTCATTCGCAAGTCAAATCTTGTGGATCCTGACTTCCATTCAGAAGAAAATGAAAACGAACGAACGACAAATGAAGAACTTCCAAATACGATGAACCAAGATCTCAGTTCAAGACAATACATGGAAGGTGTTCAAGATGAGATTGCAAACATCATATGAGCTAGAACCTGTTAATTTTTTAATAATTTTTTGTTTTATTTAATAAATTGTAATTTTATTTTAAATTTAATTTTTAATAATTTTTATTTATTAAATAAATTATTATCTTATTTTAAATTTAATAAAATAATTTTGTTGATTACAATTTCAAATTTTTACAATAAAAAATAAAATATATTGTTGATAAATTTGATTGATTTTTTTGTTTTTAAACTACCTAATATATTTTATAAATGTGTACAAATAAAAAATAGGTAATATATTTTGAAAATTATAAACCCATATTTACAACAGTCATAGCTTCTAAAGCTTTAAGTACCAATCATTCTTTTAACTTTCTCTAAAGTAACAATTACAACATTTAAAGCCAAAATCTATACAGTCACAATTCTAAAGTCAAAGCCTAAAGCGAAAGTCATTACCAATCGGACCCTTTATATAATAGAGACTCCCTCTGTTCCTACAAGATTCATATTCTAGTTTTTTCACATTTTAATAAAATACAATAAATTTGCATAGTTTTTTGTATTTATTTTCTTTCCATAATTTTAAACCAATAAAAAATCAAGTAGTGCAATTAATATTTTTGAATTTTACAATTAGTTAATAAAACATGCTTTGAAAATGTAAAAAATAGATCTTTTAGAAACAATTTTTTTCCTTAGAATATGTATCTTTGATAGAGTAATTTTTTTCTTGTCAAGGGTGGAACACTAAAGAACACGTATTCTTATTGTTCATCTTCATTCCTTTATTTATCTTCCTATTATTTTTTTTGTGGTCACCAGGTAGAACTTGGATCTTATATTCAAAATTCTCAGTATACGTATCTCAATAACTTCTAGCCAACCTTTGTAAAAGAAATATTATTTATTATATTGTATTAAGATATAATTAAATTTAATGCATATTGTATATTGTATATTATGTACACATTTAATAAGTACTAGCAATTATATCCGTTGAATAAGCTACTAAATATTTAAAAAGTATTAGATTTTTATAACCGTATAAATACATTTATAAATACAGAAGATACAAGGATAGTTAAATTAAAAGATACAAAATTTTGATATTACAATGAAAATAAAATTAAACATTGATATAGATCCGCACATAGCTTAAATAAAATACATAAAAAATATTATTACAATTTTGTGTATGGCACGTAAATCGATCTAGTAAAAGTTATTTACCAACATTCCAGTGATATCTAAATACATATGGCCTTTCACGACGCTCTTTAAAGTAAATTCCATCTTTTTTTGCCTCCCATGAACGTAGTTGGCCGCTATTCTCAAAACTTCCTTCTCGATAGACTTGAACATCATGGTAATATTTATTATAACTTAAAGTACAATCTATTTCGTATTTGATACTTGCCCAATTTAGCATATGACGATCTTTAAACTTAAAGATTTTAGATGTGTTAAATTGTAACTCCATCTTTCCACCATCACTCTTTGGATTCTTATGACGACAATGATAATGGAGAACCATACCAGGACCTAGTTGATTATGAATTTCTACATGATTCCATGAGTAAGCTTTACCAGCCAAAACGAGCAAAAAACATATAAGAAGTTTCATTTCTAGATTAAAGATAGTTTTGATCAGTGTTCAATATGTATAAATTTTGTTTCTGCAACATTTATATAGTGTAGTAATAATCTATTTATTTTGTTAGCTAAATTTAAAATTAGACGAGAACTATTTTTAGCCCAAGTCAAATAAGTTTTTATGGTAAAAAACGGAGCAACCAATAAAAAGTAAAACAAATGAATAGGCATTATGAGTACTAATCCACCATTAAATGGAAATATAGAAAAGTATAAGATGAACCAAACAAATTAAAAATTTATTATTTTAAGTATTTAAATATTTGAAACACTTAAACCATGGATTTAAAGAGACATTATTAAAACTAGGAGAACATAGTTAATATTGAAGGAGAACATTAGCTTTTGGGAACAAAGTGTGTTTTATAACAGATTTCTTCAAATAATGTCAATCAAATGAATACATAATAGTTAAAAAGAATGTTGGTCTTCATTTAGATTATATATAAGGAAGATCATCTAATTTGAATTGTATTATAATTCAATACTATTACATCAATTAAAATTTAATACTAGTATAATTAAATATGTTATCAGGTATACAAAAATATAAATATACTGAGCTATAAACTTAAACATTAACCAGTTGATGTACTTAATTNACATAATAGTTAAAAAGAATGTTGGTCTTCATTTAGATTATATATAAGGAAGATCATCTAATTTGAATTGTATTATAATTCAATACTATTACATCAATTAAAATTTAATACTAGTATAATTAAATATGTTATCAGGTATACAAAAATATAAATATACTGAGCTATAAACTTAAACATTAACCAGTTGATGTACTTAATTGTATTGTCATTTTAATCTCAAATGGGAAGGGTAGTTAAAATAGGATGAGGAGCGGGATTTTGGGTCTCGTTCGAATTTTCGATATTAGGAAATATTATGTTTATTAAAATTAATTAAAAAATTTTGACTTGACCAGTTTTCAGATTTTTGAGACTAATTACATTTAAATTTTTTTATAAAAAATAATTATATACATTTATAAATACAAATAAAAAGATAGCTAGATGATAATTAATTTTAAAATACTATTAATAAAAATATATATAAGTAGAAAATGATACTACATATTTAAAATATATTTTAAAAACTTAAACTGGAATTCTTTATATTTTAGTAATTTTAAATATTATAAAAGTAAATTAAATTGTTAACATAAATCCATGCATATCGTGGATAAAAAATTGGACAACTTACGATTATTTTAATTTTTTTATTGTTTGATAAAATTCTATTACCAATACTAATAAATAAACACTCTAAATCCATACCTAATTTACAACGATTTTATGATGAACCATTATTAAACATTGAATTATTTTGTGTTATTTTCTACGGATTTGTGAATGATTTACATTGTTGTCCCTTGTTTGTTAGTGGTTTGATGCTAAATAAAAACACTTTCTTTTGTAATAACTGTTTTTACAGTGAAAAGTGCATAATAAAATGATTATAGTATAAATTAATTGACAAAAATAAACAATTTAGCTTTTCTGTAGGATTCATATTTGAGTTCTTTTATTTATTTTACATATTAGATTTCTAATAGTTTTGATGTATTACCTAGAAGTTTGTTGATTTTCTTTATGTGATGTATTTTATTAACTTTACTGTATGTTTTGATAGATTTGATTGAATTAAAGAAGGATGGAACTGAAATATATATATATTTGGGAATAAAATATTTATGAATACTTAGTTACTTTAAATTCCTCAAATGTTCACTAGTTAAATTGAAAATGGAAAAGAGTATTCTTTTTCATTTCATATTATTCCATATCATATAAAAACCAATATTCATTTTTTCGAACACCATCTTTGGAAAAAACAATCTATTTTTTTTGTCATCCGGAAAAACAATCTACATTCCTTTAAAATATCATTCTACTTCAAAAAAAGTTGGAATAAATGGAGTATTGATTTCACTAGTTGTATTTTTTGACTTATTAGAAAAACGATTGGCTGAATTGAAAAGCGTTATCACTCATCACAAAATATTCAGTGTGAAATTTTTAACATTTTAAGTAGTTTATTATCGTTTTAAAAAATTCTAAATATAACATATAAGAAAAAATCTAATTTTCTTATTATATGATTAATGTGATTTTTTAATTTCTTTTAATAATATAAAATTAAATATAAAAATAAAGAGGATAAAAAATTGTCATCATATCTTTATTATTCATAAACATTAATTGTGATATATATGTTAATCATTTTAGGTAATTCTGTAACTTTTATATAAAGAAATAATATGAAATATTCTTTTGTACACTACTAATTAAATATGATAGTTAATATAATAAAAAATATAACATATGTTTAGTTGGACCAACATATTTCTCAAAGAGTTATAAAAATCATTCTCATTGTGATACGTGGCTTTCAAAAATGTTGTAATGCTACATGATTAACATGATTAATATATAGGGAATTTAAACTACTAATCAAAAATATTATATGTGAAAATTTTCAATTTTTTACTAATTTACAATCGTTTTTAAAAATGAAAAATATAACATATATCAAAAAAATCAATTTTTGTTATATAGTTAATGTTATTGTTTAATCTATTTCGCTAATTTAAAATTAAAAAAATATGTTAGATGATACACTAATTTTTATTATTCAAAACCTTTAATTATCATATATATTTAGTCACATTAGGTAATTCCGTAATTTTTTTTAAGGAAAGAAAAAAGAACATTAATGATAAATTTATGGCTAGTTTAATAAAAAACTTATTATAAACATAAATAGACCAATTTTTTTTCTAAGGATTTCTAAGATTCATTATGATGATGACACATGGCTATCAAAAATGTTATAATGTTTCTCTTTTAATATATAAGGGATAGTTACTATAGTTGAGACGGAACATTCTAAAGTGTAAAATGATACTTTATATTAATTATTTCTCATATGTTTCAAAATCATTTGAATTAAACAAACTTTACAAAATACGTTCAGTATTTTCTTTATGATCCTATTTTATTTCATTAGGAATAATAAGTAAAATAAACCATGGATAAAAATTTAAACATAACTTACACCACAAATTTTTTTTTTTAATTTGTAAACTATGTATAAAAACTAATATTTTCATTATTTATTAGTAATAACTAAAAATTAAAAGCCAGATGCCAGTATACGCACAAATAAATAGAAAGTGGTTCAACTTAACTGCAATGGTCACATCAAAGACATAACAGTTTTGTAGAATGAAAGATCATTTAATTTGAATTTTATTATAATTAAATACTATTACATCAAATGAAGATTAAATTTAGTATAATTAAATATGTAATCAGCTATAGAATAATATAAATATACTGAGCTATAAATTAACATTTACCTACGATT